ACTAAAAATAAAAATATTCATAAAATATGTATAGTACCTAATTAATAATAAATGTTATTACATATAGGTAGTTACTTAATTACATAATTTAGTTCTTTAAGTTACACATTTATAAGTTCTGCCTTTTACGCCTAGCTGTATACATTGAAATATACACGTGTGTATCCTGGCTATCCAGAACTAAGGTGGTGGCGTGAAACTAAGTAAAAAAAAAGCGAGTTGCCACTAACATATATTAACAGGAGCCAATGTTATACCATTTTTTTCAGTGGTTTAACTCTGGATCCTGTAAATAATAATTTGTGATAATCCATACATGGTAATATTATAAGGTATCAATCGATTAGAAAGATTGTACTTTTAAGGCTGATTTTTCGTTCGTACGAAAATATAATATTGTATCAGTAGGTTATAGGTACATATTCTATATAATAATATTAGTAGCTAACTAACATTGAAATAGGTAGAGTATAACTAATCAAGTGTTGTAAAGTCACCAAGCTAAGTGGAATTATTTAGTTGAGTTAATATTTTAGATTCTGAGTGAAACGATGAATGTATTGATTTTACAATGATGTGTGTTTTTTTTTTTATATATTTTTTATTTTGTGTGTCTGTGTACACGATAAGTAGTCGAAATAATGCTTCGATTTTCGACTTCAGTATCTTGTTCGATTGGAAAGTGAATATCGTTGGTGCATTGGGGAGGTCAACATTTAATAGTCACAGTACTTTTCAAAAGTGCCAAGAAAAACAAAAGAAAAATTAAGGAAAAACGGGAATTTTTACGCAAAATCGATTTTTCAGAAAATTGAATTTGGTTTTTGGTGTAACTTTAAAACAAATGACCATAGATACATGAAATTTTCACTGGTTGTTTATATTTGCATTTTCTATACACAATAACATTTTCAAAATATTTTGATTTATTTTGAACTGTTAAGGGACATTTTCATTTTCTATTTTTTTTTAGTTTTTTTTTTAAAAATATCAATAAAACATTGTTTGTTGAGTAGAAATACTTGAAAATTGAATACAAGGTTCTTACTAAATTGTTACAAAGGCAGATGAAAAATATTAAAAATCCTTAGTCACAGTTTTTTTTTATAAGCATTTAAAGTTCAAAAATTGACAAAATATGGAAAAATTACGAAAATTAGCAAAGTATTTTGAGTTAAGAATTCGTAAAAATTTTTATTTTTAAATCTAAGATTTGAAAATATAATACAAGATTACTCATAAGTTTGTCAACCTTTATGAATAAAAAAATCTCTAGAGAACAGTCAAATTAAATTTATATGAGCTTTTGAAATTCAAATTCTTACAACATTGGATGTTCACTCGATTTCTCATGTGGCGATTTCCTTATTTTGTTGTAATTCAAAAACAAATTACTGTAGATACATGAAAATTTCACTGAATGTTTATATTAGCATTTCCTATGCACCATACAATTTTGAAAATCTTTTGACTCCTTTTGAGCCGTTTACGGATATTTTCAGTTTTCAATTTTTTTAGTTTATTTTTTCTATAAATATCTATAAAGTTTTATCTGTTGGGCCAAAAAGTGTAAAAAATTAATACAAGGCTATATCAGGAGCATATTGTTACAATAGCAATTGAAAAATATTAAAAAAAAAATAGGCACAATTTTTTTTTATAAGCATTTAAAGATCGCACTTTGACAAAATTTATCAAAATCTCGAAAATTATCAATCATCTTAATTAATAAATTATAAAATGTTCAGTTTTTGTAGCTAAGGATTGAAAATTTAAAAAAAAGATTCTCATAAATAGTTCATACTGTAGCTAAAAAATCTAAAAAATATATGAGCACAGTTCTTTTTTACAGATATTTTAAATTCATATTTGGACGAAATTACATAATAAAAAACCTAGAATAACTAATTTAGTTATTTTGTTGTGATTGTATAATATTATTCGTGGGTACTTGAAACTTCTAAAGTATACTACTATATATCTATGATAGTATCAGGGTTTGTTGTTGGTGTATAACGCGTTATAAGTACCTAATGGATATTGTGATATGATTAATTTGGAATTCATTATAGGTCAATTTTTTTAATACCATCTCCGCTCAGAATCGTTTTTCTTATACAATGGTATAATATCATTGAATTCAAATTTAATACCATCCATTATACAGTGACCCACTTGTTACCTACTGTAAAGCAGAGCGACACCCACTTGCCCACCTTTTTTATCATACTTTTGAACTAAGTTCAGTTTCCTGATTCCTCTTTCAAATAATTAAATGTAAATATTTTTAGATTCTGAGTGGAACGATGAATGTATTGATTTTACAATGATGTGTGTTTTTTTTTTAATTTTTAATTTTTTTTTAATTTGTGTCTGTGTACACGATAAGTAGTCGAAATAATGCTTCGATTTTCAACTTCAGTATCTTGTTCGATTTTAACGTGATTATCGTTTGTGCATTGGGGAGGTAAAAATTTAAAATTCCCAGTAATTTTCAAAATCAGCAAGAAAAACAAAAGAAAAATTAAGGAAAAATTGGAATTTTTAGGAAAAATCGAATTTGGTTTTTGGTGACACCTTATAACAAACGACTGTAGATACATGCATTTTTCACTGGTTGTTGATGTTTGCATTTTATATACACGATAACATTTTCAAAATATTTTGATTTATTTTGAACTGCTTAGGGATATTTTCAGTTTGCAATTTTATTAGTTTTTTTTTTTTATGAATATCAATAAAGTTTATCTGTTGGGCCTAAAAGTGTAAAAATGTAGTACAAGGCTCCTGATATATTGTTACAAAAGCAATTGAAAAATATTAAAAATACTAGGCACAATTTTTTTATAGTGATTTAAAGATCGTATTTTGACGAAATTTATCAAATTTAAAATTGAATAATTATTTTGTAGTTAAAAATTTATAAAATATTTAACTTTTATAAATAAAGATTTAAAATTCAAAACAAGATTCCATGTAAGAAGTTAATTCTGTTACCAATAAATCTAAAAAACACACAAGCACAGTTTATTTTTATAGTCATTTTAAGTTCAAATTTGGACGAAATTGCATATTAAAATCAATATTAACGATTTTAGTTTTTTGTTGTAATTTAAAAATATTATTCGAGGATATATGAAACTGAAAAATCAAAAAATCAAAATACTATGGCCTATCCATACAATCTACCATAGTATAATGAATAAGAAGTATGCTCTATGATAAGACTGTGCATATTTTCTTTGATTACCATTGATATGTATATAATATGTCTTAAACATAGACTGACATACTTTCTCTGCTCAGAATCGTTTTTCTTATACAGTGATATTATATCATTGAATTAGAATTTAATACCATCTATTATACAGTGACCCACTTGTAACCTACTGTACAGCAGAATACCTTTTTCAATATACATTACATAGGTACAATATCTACAAAATATCATACAAAATATATGTATGCCGTACGATACCTGATTGCCTTTGTGTTTATAATTTATTAAAGTTTATCAAAATAAATTATTCGTACCTATCACTATAGTGGGCTTTTATAGTTTTATAAATATTATGAAAAAGACACAATTCGTAATGATATAGGTGTATAATTGTTTTGATCAGTTCCATACAAAAAAAATGGGGATATAAATAACAGATGAACAAAAAAAATGTATTCTATTCTTTAACTAGAAAATATTCAAAAAAGTAAAAAACAGAATTTTATCTGGATTACCGGGCGTTTTGTATAGGCAATATAAGTACATTCCGGATATTATGGCTTTTTTTTTTTTTTTCCGTTTGAACCGACAGCATAGGAGGATCTGTGTGAACACTACTACTCCTCTGCTGCCATCGTTTATTAATGTTTAATAAGAAACGTTAATACATGCAAATTCTTAACACATAACTAATTATGGTTGCTTCACCTTGAAAATAAACATTTATACAGGATATTATGGCTTGGCGGTTAACAAGTAACATCGCATTAGTTAGAACCCCAGACGTATATACAGTGTGATATATAATAAACTAAATAAACAATATAAATATTTATGTTTTTAACAGATAGTTTCTCAACACAAAACCGATTGTTAAAGTCGTTAGTGAATTAGAAATTTGAATATTTAAATGCTGATTCTGCATCACGCACACACACAAGCAACACGATAACCAAACCAGTGGCGTAGACATGATTTCTGAAGGGAGAGTCAAAAAAGAAAACGACTAGTTTAATGGGATGGGAAAATTGGAAAGTCCCCCACCTCTCAAAACTTTTTAAAATATAATTGTCTAGGTTTTTGTCGATGATTAATGATGATTGATTTACTGTTATATAATATTGTGTGTGCCGATAAGCCGATTGTTATATTTTTGTCTACGTTGTTGGCATACATCGACCGGTCGATCCGGGCCGACCGCTGTGACAACGCAGACCGGTATATTTTTATATTATATAGATTTTCTGATTTTCAGTTGATTGACACCGCTCGCCAAGTTTCGGCGCGTCTCAGTGAATAAATATGTTTTTGCATTTAACCATTCTGTTCCACTTTATTTTTCCTTAAAATTAACCACAGCATTATCAAGCTGACTGTTTATGCAGAAAATCGTATTGTGGTAAAATGGCTCAGTGGGTTTTGGGGTAAGAGTGCGGCAGTATTTCTTATATGATAATTGATTACCTATTTACCTACTTTTATAAACATTTAATTTTTCTAGCTAGAAATTGAATTAATAATATCTATTTATTTATTAATTTATTTAAACTAATAGGTACATTATAACTACGATGTATCAACAAATGATTAAATAATAATATTATATAATATTTATTGAAAAATTATACTTAAAAAATTACTCAAATTCAAACCTTAAATTAATTTTTAAATTGTATTAATAATATATTATATTAGGAACTTTTATATTATGCAATATGCGTGCATATTATATACAGGGTGTAACAGAAAGATATGACATATACATATAATGGAAATGTTCCTAAACAGTCAAAGTAAGTGCTAGTTTTTCCTCTGGAGATATTGGCTCAGGTACACGTAATGTCGGTTTCTTTGTCATTTTTTCTTGAACCAAAGACAAAATAAAATTGAACTGTTTACGATTTAGACGAAAAAATTCCCGAAATTTTTCATCGTCGTTAATAAGATGTCCACCAATCAAATTTTTAAAGAATCCTTCAGAGTTCCTCGTGGAAAACAAACTGTTAAAAGGTTTTCTTTTTTTTGGAATAATGTTCGTAAGTAACTCATTTTCCATTTCTTCGTCACGAAGTAACAGCTCACAAACAATATTAATATTAAAAATAATAGAGTAACCACTAACCTTTGGTATTATGGCGCATGGGGCAAAATGAACTATTGAGTATAAGTAATTTAATAATATTGCTATCTGGTCAAACATTTTTGTTATTATGATTATGTTATCATAGCCAAACGTGATAAAACATTTTTTTCAGCAATTGATGATGTTTTGGCGGCAATATGAGGTAAAATATTAATTGTGTTCGTCTGATATAAAATTTGAGTAGGTAGTAAAGAAGTAGTAATGTGTACTATATATCGACACGTTACTACGTTAGATGTTGCTTTTATATATATTCGTTTAGTACAAGTAGGTGACTAAACGTCAATACTAGTAAAATATTAATATGATAACAACTGAATATACTACAATACAGTGTGGTGATTTATTATTATTATTACTATTACTATTATAAATTGTATTATTATTATTACTGATGTTCAAGTCTCATTTCCCTTGTGGTAACCGTGATTATTTTACACGACGCGGTGTAGTGTGAACCCCGCTTTACGATGTGGCTATAATATGCAGGTACAATATCCACGAAAAAAAGGTAATATGTAAGACTGCGTAGGAACTCTGGTTTGGCAACCGGAGCCGGCATGAGCGGAGAGTGTCTATATTCTTATTCGCATAGACCATAGTTTAAACTTTAATTAAATGCGTCCGAATGGTGTAGGTAGGTTAAGTGTAACCTAACCAGCACGGTTTTGTTTTTACTTTATAAATAATGCTAGAAAAATACTTTTGAAAAATAACGAATATTGTGCATTATTCAAATGCATATTTTAACTTCTATAATTATAATTTTGAAAATCGGGCTTCGATCCGACCAGCAAAATGTTCTCATCAAAAAAAATTAACGAAATCTGACTATTTACAGGACGTGAGACATCCTGTAAGACATGTTAAAAATGCATCCTCGTCGAAGTCCTTAAAAGTTGAATCGTTAATTATCTGAGTTGATACCAGCAAAAAGCTTTTTATACACTATACCTATTAACTATACACGCACCCTACTCTGCAAATTATCGATCAAACATAACATTCATAAGGGTCAACATTTTTCGTGTACGGTTTTTAAGTGACGGGTGTATCGATAGTCGGATTGACTTGGTGTCACTGACGGACGTTAATTTAGTTGAACTGTATTGCAATTTTTCCGGCAGATTTGATACAGCCATCGTCAAATAGAGTCAATAGGCGTGCCGGAACCACTGACGTTTTCCGTTCGATGGTTGTGAATACATTGTCAATATCATTGTGTAGGTATACATCAATGTGAATATACGTTAAAATGTACTAATTTTGATAAAAACACAGTTGTCTGTGGGTAAATACAGAAATCTTGCAAAAATAAGTAAAAATATCATAATGTCAATAAAGCATAATATGGAAACATTAGAATATTTTCGTAAAAATAAGGAAAAAAATAAATTAATTTTATACATTGTGCTCTATAAGTCGGGTGTATGTTAATTAATTCTTTTTAAATTCTATTTTTAGCGTCAGAATATTGTAAAGATTAATTACTGATAAAAAAAACCGATAATTTTGTTTTTTGAAAAATAGTACTTTACGCCGGCTAAAATTGCCTTTCATCCCACTGTGCGGCGGCGTGAAAAAAATATTTTTTCCTATCATTTCGGTGTATTAAAATTAAATTTCGAACGATTACCTATACAGACTAATCTATTTATCTATAGTATCTATAGTTAATTTGTTTTTGGTTTGCCATAGTATTAAGGTAAACCAACATTTTGCAAGGTACCTACCTATGTATATGTTACGGGTGAAGTACAAAAACGGTTAGTGTACATATTACCCGGGTAATGTGAACCTCATCCATAAGAACAGTGTAATGTATACATTATCCACCTTAAATATGTAGTATCCAATCAATTTATACATTATCTAGTGTGCTGTGGATAATGTATTCGTATAACTATAATCGTAAACTTATAACTTCGGTACAACATGACCAACGCATCAAACACTTAAAATGGTACAGATTATAAAAAGTTTAGATTGACAAAACTTTAAGTAAATAGACACTGCTTCTTGTGTTATATTTTTATACTTTTTTTTAACTTCAGCATTCATGCGGTGTTTTCCACCATGCCCAATACTCAAATGTACATCGTGTAGCACATCATAGATATTTTCATTAGTAATATAGTACACAATGTTTGTATTACTTTCCAACAACGGCAATATTAATTTATCTTCTTCTCCAATAGTAATGAGGTCGTATCTTTTCAAAATTCGATGTGCCTTGTTACTTTTTATTCCACTTGATCTCACATTTTTTATTTCCGAAACTATTTTGTTATACTTAACTGCCGATAAATAAACTGAATTATTATTTTTTTCATTAACTATTTTATAAAAAAACTCATAAAATTTTTCGCGTGAAGTCATTTTAATAACCTATTATATGTACGACGCGTGTATTAAGACGAACTAGCACCGTACTAAATATTATTGAGTGTGTTTCTTCATAAACATTTACCTACAATCGTTATTTTATCGTACACATTTCATCAAAGTACTTTACCCACTCAGTCATAGATAATGTGTAAAATACCCGAGTAAAGTACGAAATAAACGATTTATAAATAGTATTTTTACTTTATCCAATAGGTACAGGTAGTGTACACATTACCCGGATAATGTGAACACTAACCATATTTTGTACTTTACCCGTAACATATATACTATATAGTAGGTATATACCTACGCTTTATCTCCGTACATTTTAACACTAAATACTCGAAGTTCAGCTTAGGTATTTTGCATTTAAAACGTGCCAGTGTATATATTATGTTGTCATTCACAAAAGTAAAAATTTAGGCTGGTGTAACACGGACGTACAAAATGTACAAAGCGTTATGAAGGAGGTATTTCTTGACGCGCGTACTAGAGCGAGCACTCGAGCGTTGATAATATAATGACGTCCGTTGAAAATAATTGGCATTGTTGGTACTTGTACCTACTTGGTATTTGTACATTTATCATATTATACCAGTGGTAAACGGAAGTGTTATTCTATTAATTTTTACTCGAACACTTACCTACTTTAACGATGGATACACATGATATTTTTACTTTTGGTTCTTTGGTGTATTTATACATTAAAACAAAAAAAGATAGAAAACATTGGGTTCATCCAATCAACAGCGAACGGCATACTTCATGAAATTACGTGCAACTCTATAAAAAAAACAAGATCCTGTTCAATTTTTTTATTATTTTCGCATGAATATTAGACATTAGTACTAGGTATATAATATAATACGTGTGTATAATATATCAATATATCGTGCCACAGCCAAAGGAGGTGTTATTTATTGTATTTATATTTTTAAACATAATATATATATATAAGCAGCAAGCACATTAGTATATAATATAGTATAAAATATTATACCTACCCGGGCTCCTCGTACGCAAATATAATATTATATAGCTATTATATTATGTATAGGTATACGTACACCACCGTCGATCGTGTAAAACTCGTTTACGGCATATGACGTGTGATTAAAAAAAAAAAAAAATGTGTTTGTGTATACATATCTTACCTGTACGAAAAACCATGGTAAAACATCAAAGTGCGAGCCATCTATATTATAATAATATTATGCACCTACGTTCGCTATACCCCACACATATATTTAGCACGTATATATTATATAAATAGCGAGTGCGATCAGTTCGTAGGATATTTTATTTTGAATTTTACTTAACCGTTCGCCGAGTCATATTTTATCGTTGGTAAATATGAATTATTATAAATAATAATATAATATAAAACATAATATATTGCGATAAGGATATAATATAGTATGGCAGCTGCAGAGTTATGGGAAAATTCACTCGCGGAGCCTGCACCACGAGTCTTTTAGTACTCAAGAGTGTAATGTAATATGTAGGTAGATTTTTGTCGATAAATATAATATAAATTAATAAATTTGAATAAATCGGTTGATTTTTTCGATTTTATAAAACAGTTTCAATAATATGTCGTTCTAAATTTAATATCTGTTATTTAATATCTATATTAACCGTGGCATACGGGTATCTAGGATTTTGGCGCTTTCGCATACGATACGATTTAGGCACATTCTTATCTCATCTTATGTCTTCCACCACGCAAGAAAATCATGTGGGATCCATAATCGTCTGGGAGCGTAAGAATGAATTTTTAGTATTAAATCTCCATCTAAAACAAATAGGTACGTGCGTATAATATACCAGGGTTTTTTTCAGTGAGACACATTTTGTGCAGTGAGAAAAGTAATTGTGCAGTGAAAATTGTTACTCTGTGCAATGCAAAAAAAGAATTTCAGGATGATATATTTTATTGAATATTATAAAACAACAATTGTATAAACTTCAAAATAAAAAAAAAAAGTTTCTAGGTATTAAAATTAAAAATTGTTTATATTATTCATTATCATACTGTTTTTTTTAATTTTTTTTTTTAAACAAAAAGAAATATCTACCACCTTTAAACACATGCTTGTGGTGGTGGTAGAGTGTTATATAACATCATAAGTAGTATTAAATTACAACAGTTAAATATAATTCCTTATTATTTATTCCAGTACCTACCTATTGATAATAACCAAATCGGAATTTTTTTTTTCATTTCTTTAGTTATACGATTCCCTTCTGTATAGGATATGTCCCTTTTTATATTTACTGACATTAATTTGTAGTTATTTAGGTCTAGATAATCTATGCATTTTTGACCAAACGTTTTTCTTGAATACTAGCTACGTTCTGACATCAAAAGCCCGAATTTCTCTTTTAATTATATATACAATAGTTATTTTGTTGTATACAGACTCCAATGGTAATACATCCAATAACTTAAAGTTTTCTTTAGTTGAACCAATTAAAGTACTTTTACTTCTATATATCATAACAATTTTTCTTTGTAAAAGTTG